TATCGACATATTTATTTTAATTCAACTGTAAAAGCATCTCTGAATTATTAAATGTAATAGATTTTGTGAATGTCACTTACAGAATAGCAAAATCGTCTCAAGCCTCAAAAATTGTCTCTATCAAATTTAGAGACTTGAGACTGTATCACAATACAGAATTGCACGGTTAGTTTCGCACTCATCAATATCATAAAATCAAAAAAAAAAAAACATTTCGATCTGTAACTTACACATCCCGTCTCCTGCATAAACACTAATTAGATTTTATTTCTTTGTTGATTGCATTTTTGTATCACATAATAAACAAAAGCGGTTATATATATGTACATATTCTGGCAAAACAGTATTACCGTGCGATTCTGTACTATGATACAGTCTGAAGTCTCTAAATTTGAGATTTTACGTTAGAGACAATTTTTAAGACTTGAGACGATTTTGCTATTCTGTAAGTGACAGTCACAAAATCTATTACATTGCATTATTCAGAGATGCTTTTACAGTTGATTGAAAATAAATATGTCGATAACGAATATTAAATTTCTATAACATAGTCAAAACACATAAATACCAATAGAAATATAAATAGATATTCACTTTGTTTCATAATATTTACGGAATTTTTATAAAATTGATTTATTTTTAACCTTTTCGTGTTTGAGCTGCTTACAAAATATAAAAAACGACAACGATTTATATCTATGATGATCTCTATTCAAGATATTCAAAATGGCAGACAAGAGTTCTTTTTAGTTTTATGACCTGCTAACTATCAGTTCTCAAATTTGAGGCAATGTTTTGAGACTAACGCTAGAGACTGTTTAATGAATAGTAACTAGTTACAAATTGAGACTTTACCTCAAAATGTCTCAAATAGAGACTAGGGATTGGTTACAGAATCCCGCTATTAATTAATCATTAACGTGACAAATAGTGAGAATATTCACATTGGTGACCACGACCAAAAGCTTTATATGTACATACATATGTGGTTGCAATAAATTATGCAGTGGAAAATTGTGTGAAGATGTAGTAAAATTTTTACATTTGTAACAATCTTAACAATGGATTGCAAAGTTAAGTTATACTTCTTTAATGTCCAACTGAACCAAAAACCGTCGAGAATGCGAGATGCGTATTTTTTGTCAACACTTCCATGCTTCACATTTGATAATTTATGCAAATCTTGTTATTTATTCTCTATTGATTTATTTATAGTATATAAATTGTACAAGATATAATTCATTTTGGTGTCTTCACATATTTTCGTGAACGAAATCATATAATATTGCGATATATTTGGTTGGGTAACTATCAGGATACATTAACATTACTGTTGAATTTCTATAAATTAACATACTATACGTGTATATCTTAAACCATTTATGTATTAATAGTTTGTACATTTAAAAGAGACAAAAAGTAATTACTTATTACATTAAGAAAGTTTAATATATCTAAGGTTAGTTGTTTCACATTCTAAAAGCTTATAAAATTCCGCAAAAGCTTCAATGGCAAGCGACTTATATTTTACTTGTTTGCTATTGAGGAATTTATTACATTCGTATATATGACAACATAATAATTAAAGCAGGATTAATGATTAGACTGAAATAAAATACTTGGACGGCACAATCTTATGCTTAAAAAGTTAAATATTTGGCTTTTTGCATACATACAATTAAATGTATTCTATTGTTAATGGAATGACTTTTTATAAATATTCTAATGAAATAAATATATGCGCTTATGCAACCAATATAAAACAATGATCACTAACATAAAAACTTAAACAATAATTAAAAATCTTGCAGTGTTTTCTTATCTATTAAATCGTATGTTTGTTTAGGACACGCGTATTTTATATGAGTGTGTTCCAAAATGTACGAGTAACATTATTATTTGTATTTACTTATGAACGAAATAAGCGTAATATTATGCGCACTGGTATTTGGAAGATCACATATTAATATGCATCTTCCACCGTATATTTTTTTACTTTGACTTTCACAAACTTTCCATGATGGTTAGAAATTCCAGTCAATGATATATATATATCATATATTATGGTTTAGCTCTTGTCGATATAGTGTAATGCGCATTTAAGCATTCGACTCCTGCAAAGATAAGGAAAAATAAATTTGTATTAAATGTATCTATGATTGATATGATTATTTTATTAAATTCAGCCCTATTTCCGTTGCCGTTTTAAAACGAAATAAAAACACTTTTGACATTACTGTTGGCGTTATCAACATTTTTCGAAAATAAATTTGTATTCCTTATTTTCAAACGAATAAATTTTGAGTAAATTTGTAACAAGAAGCAGTTGGGAATTTTAGGGTCAGAAAATTCTGCGTATGCCTAAGGTTCATTTGCACCTCTATGTTGCGACGGAGACAGTTGCCATAAAGTAAATAAAATTGCATTTGTTAACGAATGAAAATAAAAAGGAAACGACAATTAAAAAGGGGCAAAGGGAATAGGGCCGAATATTTTCGATTCACGGAGGAAATGTAGTAATGATTGGAGTACACAATTTATAACAACATAAAATTTGATCGATAATTAATTTCATTCGCTATTTAAATAACTCGAATTCCGTTAAGCGGTATACACTAATAAAATGTAATTACACTTATTTAACTTACTTTTAAATTGTCAAAATAATGCATAATTTGTTCGTAGTCCATTTCAAAACCATCAAGGACTAGGTCGTCTCTACTATCAACGTGATCATATGCTGTATTAGAAAACATAGGATTTCCAACAACTGTAGCTCTCTTAACTTCCTTTTTTAAGACGGATTTAATCTCTGATCTCGGTTGCAATAATTTAGCCCCCTCCTCTTCTATTGAATTTGACGTAGGTGCCTTATTTTCTTGTGCTTTGTATATAATGCAATCTCCTATGAAATAATTATGAAGAAATTTTTAAAGATTCCTAGATAGGTAGTGTGTTATGTATTTTGTTTATTGGTACTACTTACCAGTAACACTGTCTATTTTACTATTTTGTGGTAGCGAATCAAATTGGAATGCAGTTTTTCTACTATAATCACCGAATTGTACTATCTTTTCTGCGTTGTGCATTTCATTGTAATTCTGTTGTAAAGAGTTGTGCATCAAATGGGTATCTTTTTGTTTCTGGTCACTGTTTTTGTCAACTCCTATTTCAAAAAGATTCACGCCAATTTCCTTTTCTTCGGTTTCAACTTTACCCAAACCCACCCGCTTCTCATTATCCTTAAATAAAAGATAAAAAATATGTTAGACTCGACCGTTTTTGTTTTGTTTGTTGTTTTACAGAAATTAGAAATTATTGCTTGTTGTAAACTACAAGCATATTTGGTCTAAATAAATTATAATATAAATAAAATATGTATATAGATATACACCCCGTCAAGAAAGTATCGGAAATTTATAAATAAAACGAAAGTTTTTCAATCATGATCCAAATTTTTTTTATCGCCTTGCAAGTAGCATCCATTTCAAACTCATGTGCCAACTCTTCAAAACGTCAAAACATTTTTTATAGGCCCTTTCTGGGATGGCCTTCAGCCCTCGCGTCTAATTTGTTTTAATGTATTCATTTGAGTCGAAGCGTGTTCCCCGAAATGGATATTTCGGTGTGGAGGATAAGAAAAAGTCACAGGGGACCATATCAGGTGAATACGGTGCTTTCTCAATGATATTTGTTGAGTGTTTGTCCAAAAATTCATTCACAATGATGTCTTTGTGCGATGGTACGTTATGATGATGAAGAATCTGCGAATTGTTGGCCCACAAACTCGAACGTTTCCGACAGATAGCGTCTCGTAAACGCCTCATAACATCAGGATAATACTCTTTGTTGACGGTTTGATCAGTTGGAACGTATTCATAGCAGAAGACACCGCGAATATTGAAGAAAACAATGAGCATTTTGGGCCGCCATTCGGATGATTACTGGTTCGCACGTGTGTCATATTCATAGACCCATGTCTCATCACCAGTAATTATGTGTTCTATAAAGGTGGGATCCGAATTGGCTCGATCCAGCATGTCTGCAGCCACCTGCTCGCGATGCCTTTTTTGAAGGAAATACAGCTCTATCGAAACAAGTCTTACAGGAACGCGTTGCATGCCCAATTTTTCATGCATAAGCGTACGAACGTTCTCATGTGACACCTCCAGTCTATGGGCAATCTCTCTCAAACTCACATGGCTATTTTTGGCAACAATTACCTTCACTTTTCAACGTCATCATCGGTCACACTCGTTGAAGACCGTCCAGAACGAGGCATATCTTCGACGGTCTCCCGACCATCCTTAAAGGCTCTTTACCACTCGTAAGTTCGCGTTTTTGATAGAGCAGATTCACCAAAACTTCCGCAACATTTTCAACGTATCGGCACACGAAAGTTTGTTCGCAATACACAATTTAACACAAATACTTTGATCAATATTTTCGGTCATTGTAAAATTCGACAAACAGTACTGAAGTCGACTGACATAATCAGCTGCTGTAAATACACTGGTTGACAGATCGCGCTAATTTTTGGCATCATAATTAAGGACAGTTGTACCAACCTAGAAAAAAAATTACCTTTCTTCCATATAAGCGGGAGATTTAAATGAAGAATTCCCGATACTTTCTTGACAGGGTGTATATAAGTGAATGTCGCTGAACATAAGGAAGTGGACGATTACTTCACAGCTACGACTATTTGAGGTCATTCTGGAATCAAAACTTTAATTAAGGGGCACACATTAATTATAGCAAGTAAGATCTAGAGAAGAGGCAAGAGTAGTAAGAAGATTGTCAGGAAAAGATACCCACTAATTTCATCACGAAATTTTTTTGTATAAATTTTTTTGCAAAGTTATTCAAAAAGCAAAGTTATTTTCAAATTAAGTAAACGCGTAATCAGCAATCGTTATTCCTGTTCAACCTGTTTTAATAAGAAATGGGAGAGTTAATAATTCAACAATTATACTTACGAAACTTACGAGAGCCCTTACTCCAATATTACGATGGGGAGGTACAGGAGGCTTATATTCGATTGCTTTTATGCAGCAATTAGAACTATTTATTTCTGGTCTGAATATTAAATAAAATATTTGCAATTAATTCCAAAAATATACAAATTTATCTTAAAGTGTACCTTGGAATTGATTCTTGACTATGACCGGAGATTTTTAGATGATTATCGAAAGAAGTGACCGAACTGTCGATAAAGTTAATGGGGTTATTTGTAATCTTTATGCGTACATCTGAAAAGGTACAATTATTTAAATCCACAAAAGTTTTAATTATATAATGGTGGTGCCGTTTTTCTTTGTCTAATATGCTTCTTAAAAAAATCTTATAGAAATTTCCCTCGTTAATATGAACGTGAGCATTCTGATAATATTTGTACATAAAAACTACAATACTGAGCAACAGTTATACAAGGTGCGTTCCAAAGTAAAAAGGACTTTAAGGAAAAAAAGAACAAATGGTTTTTTCGGCAAAATCAATTTATTTTATTCATCTGCATAAAGCTTTCTTTTTATTGGCAAATGCATTTTTTCGAAAAGGAAGAAGACGTATCAGGTGAATACGGGGAGTGGTTAATAGTAAAAATGTAATTTTTGGTCAAATAATCGGTCACAAGCATCGATCGATGAGACGATTCTGAGCAATTTTGTGCGAAACAAACCGTGCACGCACCTTTCGTAAGCCCAAATGTTCCGTCAAAAAGCGTTAAATCGATGTTTTGCTGATGTTCAATTCCACTTCCATGAATTTCAATGATAATTTCGGCTGATTTTTGATGAATTCACCCAAATGTTCGATGGAATTTCTGGTGATCACGGATTTTTATTGGCCCACATGTTGATCGTCATTTATGTCCTCACGACCACTTTGAAAACATTAAAATCACTAGTGCACTCTGCTACGGGATAGGCAATTGTGAATGTTTCGGTAAAAGTTTTACCAATTTTAAAATAAAATTTAATGTTGGCTCTTTGTTCGAAGCTAATTTTCGCACCGATAACACAAATATACTGACACTTAAGATGCAATAACTTCACTTCCAATCAATGAAATGTCATGAAATTCTCCCTGGACAATCGATAAAGATAGTAGATTCTAACGCACCAGTCGACATATAGATGGTGCCACCAGGGGGTGATAGATGCAAAAAGTCCTCTTTATTTTGGAACACACCTTGTATGTTAGTATTAACGATGTTTTTTTCAATGATTGTTTTCAAATTTGTACTGATTAAATAAATGAAATGACTAAAAATGTGCTACTGATAATAAATAGGTGGATCCTGATTTTTCGTATTTGCGTTTCAGAAATCTATTACGAAATTTTATTTTTGAATGACGAATCGATCAATCAATCCACTGAGAACTATAAACTATTTTATATGAAGCTTTTATAATAAGAAAAATATAAATAATTTAATAAAAGATAAGGTTTTAAGTTTTTATTTCTTTGAAACTAGCAGATTAGATTTGTCCAATAGTATATGTACATACATATAGGTATATACACGATGTTGATTTTTTCGGGGCTTGCCCGATATGCATCTAAATATATAATGGGGGAAAATCAGGTTGTATGCACGTTTGGAAAATATTTAGAGTAAAAAACTAAAATTTCCGTATCAATAGTGGAATGAAAATAAATTGCTGCTGTACTAGAGCAGTAATAAATAATTCACCTCGATTATTGGTGGTTGTGTCATTAGCCGCTGCTGATCTATCCATTGTTGAACGTCCCAACCAAACCCAGTCATGCACATTAGTGGTTGATTCTTTAGGAAATCGTAAATCTTTCGACAAAATACTAGGAGAGATAATAGCCTTACTCAGTTCTAAGGGACCATTTCCTGTGTCAAGAACTCTTGGTCTAAATTTCGATGCATATACAACACAAGAAATTACGAATACCACAATAGCAAAGCAAAAAGCAGTGAGCAGTACATATACCCCGACTTCCATAGACGACATGTTATTACGAAAGGAATATTTTCGATAGTTTTTTAAAGGTTGTGTACTTCCATGATGTTGCTTTGTTTGTACCATAAGATTGTCCTCATTATAGATCGAATTTTTTAATGGGATGCCTACTGTAATATTTTTTCATTACTTTGAAATAAAAATAATAAAAATTAATTTAAAAAACATTATATTTACCGATAATATCAGCTAAATCACCGTTTATCCGGAAATTTTTTCTATCTTTGCCGATTCCATCATTTTGAATTGATTCCAGTTTGTTATTATTATCAAAGTTATTGAAATCTACTTCAACTGCTGCTAGTGAGCTTATTAGAGGAGAAAAATTCGATTTGATATGTTTTGAGGATGTAACACTTCGTCGCATACGACAATCCTCCGACAAAAGTAATGTTACCCGTAAAAGGTCGCCACTTCCTTCGCCTACCGCTATAACTCTTGGATGATGTGACGCCAACATTGGTGCAAATGCAACGACTTCGGTATCCAAACTCTCCACCAGCAAAAAGTAGTCTTCCACAGAAATATCTCTGTAAAACAGATTGAAACAAAAATTAATTTAATTAATTAAGGGAATACATTACTTCCATCACATTAGTACATCAGGTGATACATATGTCTAACCAAATATTACAAAAAGGAAAAAAACATTTTCTGGAGATCACAAATTTTAAATGATAAGTTATGGAAGGGCTAAGTTCGGGTGTAACCCAACATTTTATACGCTGGGAACTTGCAAAGCCTGCTAAATACATTCTGGTGCTGGCAAAAGAATGTAGCGAAAGAGTTCAACCTCATTGTTCGATGAAATAGTGGAAGGATTACAATCAAATTTGGTATCGTATTAACTTATTTTGTTAACTTAGTTTTACTATATTTTACTTTCCATCAGCGATCTAAAATCATTAGGACATAGAAATGGAAGGACTGATTGTATCAATTTTTCACATTGCTGTGATATATTTGAAAACATGTATCGAAGAGGCAAAATGCAACATGAGTTAAATGAGCGCTCAATGGCGATATTGCTATAAGGCGGTATTCTAGTCTAGAGGCTTTCGAGCTTTTTTCAACAATTAAAAAAAAATTTTTTTTCATCGAGTTATGCGTCTTTGAAGAAAAGGGGGGAAAAAGAAACTGCGTCCTCATCGCCATGATTTCGACCCTTGTCATCAGAAAAATAAAACAATGACAGATTCTTAATGAGTACGAATGTCGGTATGTCATGAAGCAGCAAAACTAAAAATTGTTAATAAAATGGCGGCTACTCAAAAAAAATAAAAGATCGATTTTTTCACTAATTTTTAAATTTTGTCGATTTTTTTAAAAATATTATAAATTTCAAATTTTTCTTTTTTGTTGCTTCTAGTGATAGAGCTTGTAGCAATGTAAATGTGATTAATGTATTATGTTGTATCGTTACCTTATTTTAATGTTACTTGAATAAGCAATCCTGTTGTACTTTTCAATTTGTATCATACCTTATTTTAATGTTACTTGAATAAGCAACCCTGATGTAATTTTAAAAACTTGTAACTGGCGACATGAAAGCGAGAAGAAATAAAGAAGAGTCAGTTCGGACGCAACCACGAAACGAATCGGTCTTCCTACAAAATCTCAGAAGTGGGATTCGGGCACAGTAGCAAAGTACAGTTTTAAAAAAATTTTTGCAAATTTTTTTTATAAAAATGGAGTGCGTCGATACAAACATATATACGGCGGCCCAGTTGCGTGAGTGGTTGAAGCGGTTGGGGCTCCCGACTCATGGCAACAAAAGTGCCCTGGCAATAAGGTTGGGCGATGTGCCCGCAATTGAGCGTGGCGATTGTCCTAGTTTCGCTGGCGAGGAGGTTGAATTGGTGGGCATTGATGAATCACCTTTGGAGGCGGCAGCGGAACGTGATTTAAAGACGCAGAACCTGACCAAAGACGTCGAGCAGTTAAAGCTAATGATCGTGCAACTTAAATCAAGCAATGTAGTAGGCGGCGCCACTGATGTGACAGAAAAAGACGATTCATCGAATAGCAGAGCTTCGAGTACTTTAAATAACGGCACAACGAATGTCAGCGCAACAAACAAACAAACATACAACATGCAACGCATTGAATAACGGCAGTGGCGCTTTGAACAATGACAGCGCTATGAACGACAGCGACAATGACGCTTTGAACAGCAACGGCGCTGTAGGCACAGTAACAAACCAACGCAATAAAGATAGCGCTACGGTAAGGAATGTCGGTGCTATACCTTTGGAGATGTTAAARGATCTGTTACCAGAATACGAAGGTGGGCCGAATTTTAACGTTTGGATTCAACAATTAAGAAGTGCTGGGAAAGTTTTTAATCTCGATCATGGCGCACTGCGCGCTGTAATGATAAGCAAACTAAAAGGTAGTGCAAGAGTGTGGCTGCATGCCTGGCCTCTGTTTATCACAGAAAATATAGACAGCCTTGTTGCAGAAATACAAGCGGTGTTTGCATCAACACACAACAAGTTGTTGCTGCGAAGACAGTTTGAAGCGCGCAAGTGGTCGGTTGGTGAACCCTTCCAAAAGTACTACAATGAAAAGGTTTCACTGTCAGGTCCGTTGAATATGGATGAATGCGAGTTGATTGACCATATTGTCGAGGGTATGCCGGACGAGCAGTTACGGACTCAGGCATATATCCAATGCTACACTACAAGAGTGCAGCTTCTGCAGGCGTTCGGGAGAGTTGAATTGAAACATGACTCGATGCAGATGCCTCGCACTAGTGTCAGATGTTTCAACTGCAATTCATTTGGACACATGGCCGTGGCATGTCGAAAACCGAAGCGAGAGGTTGGGGCGTGTTATGGGTGTGGCAGCATAGAGCATAAAGCCGCTACGTGTCCAACGAGGATTCAAAACAACCGTGCAGATGAGAGCCCATACGTAAGATATTTAAAGTTTATTGTTAGTAATAATACTGAATGTATTTTATATTTAGAATGCCTCATAGACTCAGGGAGTCCAATAAGTTTTGCAAAACGATCATCCTTACCAGATAATATTGAATTTAATGATAATTTTTCAGTTTGTATTCCATATTTTGGGTTAAATAAAAGTAAATTAGAAATGTTTGGTGAATTTAATTGTAATGTTTGTTTTGAAAATAAATTTGTCAATATAAATTTGATCGTAGTGGCCAATGRGACTATGGGGTATGASGTAGTTTTGGGTAGAGACTTTTTCAAAGCAAGTAATTTAATTTTGATATGCAAGGATGAGATCAAAAAGMATACRTTARTTAAGTTGAAAAAGAGTGTTGATGATAACAGTGTTGAATATGAAAGTGTAAACGATGAAGGTAAACATAAATAACAAAATAAAAGTTGTAAAGTAGAAAAGTGTATAGCTACGTTAAATGAAACAAATGATAGAAAAACAAAAGTGGGTGATATAAATAAAACTGGGTGTATTGTTGACGAAACAAATGATGGGAAAATGATAGTTGATGCGAATAAAAGAAAAGAGATAATTGATCGTAAAATAATCTGAGCGATAATCGTTGTAAAACAAAAATGGTTACAAATTGTATTGTTGATGAAATTAAAAAACTGGGTGATAAGAAATTATACAATTTATACAAAATTAAATAAAATATTTACAAAACTGTATGTACAGGCCGAACGTCCTGATGAACCATTGGTAAAATGTAGCATGAGACTCGTATTAGAAAACATAAAACCTTTTCATTATTCCCCGCGACGATTATCGTATGCAGAAAAAGGGGAGTTGCAAAAGTTGATAGATGAGTATTTAGCAAAGGGATATATCAAACCAAGTGAGTCCGAATATGCGGCGCCGACTGAATTAGAAAAGAAAACGGGAGATCTAAGAATGTGTGTAGATTACCGGACGCTGAATAAAGTAACCGCGAAAGATAATTATCCGATTCCATTAATTGATGACTTGTTAGATCGATTGGCGAAGAAGAAAATATTCACAAAGCTTGACCTTAAGAATGTTTTTTTTTCATGTTTATATGCATCCAGAGTCAGAGAAATATACGTCTTTTGTGACCCCGTTGGGCCAGTTTGAATTCGCGAGAATGCCTTTTGGACTTAAAAATGCACCATCGATGTTTCAAAGGTTTATACACAAAATATTTGCAGAAATGMTAAAAGAAGGAGAAGTTATAGTGTATTTAGACGATATCATGATTGCAACAGAARACTTAGAGAACCATTTCCAAATTCTAGAAAAAGTATTAAATAAGATAACTCAAAATAAACTTGAATTAAGGTTAGACAAGTGCGAATTTCTACAAACAAGTGTGAATTATTTGGGTTATATTGTTGAMGGTGAAGGAATAAGGGCGGATGACAAAGGACTAGAAGCGATAAAAAATTTTCCGGTGCCAAAAAACGTTCATACAGTACAAGGTTTCATAGGTTTGTGTTCGTATTTCAGCAGGTTTGTGAAGGATTTTTCTGTTCTAGAAAAGCCTCTGTTCGACTTGACAAAAAAAGAAAAGATATTTTCGTTTGTGGCAAAAGAATTAGAATGCTTTGAGCTTTTGAAATCTAAACTGCTAAGCGCCCCGGTACTTGCGTTGTATGACCCGAATGATTACACCGAGTTACATTGTGATGCAAGTTCGATAGGGTTAGGGGCTATTTTATTGCAAAGGAAAGAAGATGGAAAAATGTACCCAATTTTTTATTTTTCGAAAAGAACTACAGAAGCAGAGGCACGATATCACAGCTTCGAATTGAAAGCTTTAGCAATAGTTAGCGCTTTGAAACGATATCGTGTGTACCTTCAAGGAAAACCCTTCAAGATCATAACAGATTGTAATTCACTTGCGTTTACATTTAATAAAAAAGAACTTAACCCTAGAATAGCACGATGGGCTTTAGAGTTACAAAACTTCAATTATACGTTGGAGCATCGAGCGGTAAAACACATGCAGCATGTTGATGCTCTAAGTCGGTCCAGTAATATTCTAGTGGTAGAAACAAATACCTTTGAGGAAAATTTGATTATATGCCAAGAAAGAGATGAGAATTTAAAAAAGTGGAAAAAACTATTAGAAGAAAAAGAACATAAATTATTTGAGAAATGGGGTTTTGTATAAAAAAAAAAATGATGGCAGAGTTTTATTTTGTGTTCCACAAGATATGGAAGGTAATGTAATTTACAAATATCATGACGAGGTTGGCCATAGATAAAGTAGTAGAATTAATATCGAAAAGCTATTGGTTCCCTAAGTTAAGAGAAAAGGTTGATAGACACATAAAAAATTGCTTGAAATGTATTGTATTCTCTTCCAAAAGTGGGGCGCAGGAGGGTTTTTTACACAGCATTCCAAAAGGAAGAATTCCCTTTGAAGTTGTTCACATTGACCACTTCAGTCCGATTGATAACTCATTAAGAACGAAACACATTTTTGTCGTCATTGATGCATTTATAAAGTTTGTCAGACTTTACCCTACCAAAACAACAAACACTAGAGAAGCGATTCAAGCATTGCAAAGTTATTTCCGGATTTATAGTCGTCCTA